CACCTTTTGCTTAGCACAAGTGACAGTCGGGGGCTGAGGCTGCTCAGGCTTTGAGGTTAAACACAACTGACATAAGCTGTGCCTGAATCCAATCACTCCCCGTGCTCTGAGAAGATTCACATGCGAGAACCAAATTTGTCACAACTGGGTTGGTTTCCGATCCTCCTGCAGCCAACTTGCTTTATTCTGACCTCCATTTAACAAATCAACTTAATGGGCACTGGGAGTGCCATAAAACTTAACAATGGAGTGATTTTTACTTTTAAAATATACTCATGAAGCAAAACGTTGGAGAGCTCCTTCAATACTGGAAATCAAATTAAATCTAGACATTTTTTAGCAGTCTTGACAGATATAATCCTAGTTACCATGTAAATTTATGGTAAGCTGCTGTGATATTAGCCACAGGTGCTACTTTTAATATATGGCCCGCATCTGGCTGGGAATAAAATTTCTCAGAGGACTGAAAATGACCTCACTATCAGACAATGGAGAAGAAAAAAAAACCCCACAAGACCACTGTGGCATATAAAAAGCTGGAGATGTGGCCCACGACCGAATATTTAACATGAAATTCATTTCAGCTCTGCAGATTGTAGGTTAAAGGATATTATGTTTTCAATATATAAAAGGCGTGGACGTATTTCAGCCCAACAGCCAAAAGATTAAGTGCATAAAGCAGCAATGAAATACACAGCCTACATATATAAGAACAACTTTTCCATTCTTTGATCAATGCAGAAGACAAAGCAATGTGCAGGGAGCTGAAATATCAATGCCGATTACATTACAGGGACTGGCACAGAGTACCCCCATCAAAATAACTCTAGAGTATCCACTGCATATCCCACCAAATTCATTCTGATGTGTAACTGGCATAATACAACAAGGATGATGAATTTAAAGGAGCAAATCTGAGCATGTCTCTCTATAGCTAAAGGAAAATAATCGGCATTTCAATGAGGGGAAAAGAAATCAAAGCATCTACCATAACATGCTCTGTCTGCTACTTTTTTCCCTGGATTACAAGCAAGCGAGCTAGTGAATTTGGGAAGGAAATGCAAAGTGAGAATAAGAACTGATTTAATAGTTCCAGAGGTTTTGCACATCTTTAAATCACTATTCAAAACCCCAGACTCCACAATGGCAACGCAACACATGTGCTTCCACTCTCCCTGCACACTGGGCTCCAAAGCATCTCCTCACTGTCCTCTCCACTCAGGCTCATCTTTCGCCTGGGTCCTGCAGCCTCCAAACACAAGATGTATTTAAACCAGCTTCTCAGGCTCTTAGAGCATTTGATTTCCTGTCATTTCATAAATGACGTTAGAGGTCTTATGCAGACTTCCTACATGATTTACTCCTTTTCTTTAAAAAACAACCTTAATTAAAAACGGACCCTATAAAAGAAAGCAGCTGTAAATGCTGAACCTGACCATCAGCAAACTTGCCCACCTTTGTAATTTCCTAACTGCATTTTCTGCCTTGGCGTGATTACCTAAGGAAATGTAATCACACAGGCAGTTGCCCCTTAAACCTTCTGGTCAAATCCAACCGACTTTGACAAGAGACATGGAAGACTCGAGAAAAGAACCACATATCCTATGGAGCCAGGCTGAGAGAGCTGGGCTGGGTCAGCCTGGAGAAGAGAAGGCTCCTGAAGGGGAGACCTTAGAGCAGCTCCAGTGCCTGAAGGCACTCCAGGAGAGCTGGAGAGGGGCTTTGGACAAGGGCCTGTAGGGACAGGCCAAGGGGAATGGCTTTAACCTGCCAGAGGGGAGACTGAGATGAGCTCTTAGGCAGAAGCTCTTCCCTGTGAGGGTGCTGAGGCGCTGGCACAGGGTGCCCAGAGAAGCTGTGGCTGCCCCATCCCTGGCAGTGCTCAAGGCCAGGTTGGACACAGGGGCTTGGAGCAAGCTGCTCTAGTGGAAGGTGTTCCTGCCCGTGGCAGGGGCTGGAGCTGGATGAGCTTTAAGCTCCCTTCCAACCCAAACCATTCTATGATTCTATGTTCCTGCAAATTTGGACTAACAAACAGCATGAGTGCTTTCAAGCTGTGGGTTACAAATTCCATAAGCCAGAAGTGTCATTAGCTTGTCAGCCTTACAAAGGCAGACCCTGCCGCTGATCGCTTTTAACTGAGCTAATCTCAGCCTGAAAGCTTCAGGAATCTAAATAACTCTTGTTTCACAGAAGTTTCATTTCATTCTCATGCTGAAAATAATACACATCAAGCAAGCTCATGTCTACACATTTGCACGACTCCATAATGAAAGTTGTGTTTATATTCCTAACATCTGTTGACATACACAGACTTTGTAAACCTGGCATAGATTTTAAAGGCACAGAATTTTCCATGCATCATGAACATTATCTGCGAGAAGCAATAAAGAATAGAGAGCAATGAATACATTCATCATCCCAATATCATCTGCAACACATAAATCTGGAATACCCTTCCTGTCAGCTCAGCTGCCTTGTTTTGCTGTTATTAGTATTTTACACACCTGATTTTACACCATCTGTAACAGGGCAGCGGGAAGATCACCAAGGAAATGATATTTCCAAGTCCTTTGACTTTTAATAAATATTCATACTTTCAATACTGCAAACAGAACATTTATTCTCTGAAAGAATTTGTTCCTACAAGTTCTATATTTTTCACTGCAGAACAAGTACAACACGGGTATAGCCCCACTTCTGCCATTTGTTCCCTAGGTTGTAATCAACACAGTATTTACTAACAGTCATTCTAAGCATCAATAAGCACACATGCATAAGTTTAATTTACTTTCAGCTTCATCTTATTGAAAGGCAAATTCTTGCTCCCTAATTCCCTAACGCCCTGGGGATCCGCACACTGAGCCCTTTCCTGCACTGGTGTAACAGGACTGGCTTCTGCCCTCTGCAACCGCACATGGAGACACTGCAGCTAGTTCGTAACAATCAGCAGGTGAAACTGTGCCCTCAGATATTCACATAGAACCTTCTTCCACCCAGAACCCCCTGCCCAGCTTGATGTTCAGTTGTGAAGTCAATTCCCAGCCTTCCGCTCTCCTTTCTGCCTTACCTGACATCCATAAAGGCCAACCAAGAACGAAAGAGGCTGCACCAACATCTTCCAAACCATTCAAGATGCGGTTCTGCTGGAGTACCCTTTCTAAGGTGAATTATAAATGTATAGCTCATCACTTATTAATGAGCATACTTGAATAATAATCAGCTTCTTATACTGGTATACTTCACCAATCCTCAAATGAGGAAGACATGGATATGACCCTATCAGATGAATCTACAGCCAAAAAAAACCCACAACTTTGTAAATGTTTGCCAAAGCAGTGGGTTTCCTAGGTATCTGCTGGTGCAACACACAGATTTGTCTCTTGACCTGTCTGTGGGCACACTGGCTAAGTCCTCCTGACCAAATTGCCTTAGTTACAGCGTGCAAACCCACTTCTTAGTTAAGGGAGAAAAATAAGTCATTTCTAGCTGTGCAGAGCCAACAAAGACTTTGACCCATTCCCTGTCAGAAATGCCACTGCATGAACAGTCAAAGCACAAAGGCTGAAAATCTTAACTCCTCCAAGAGCTACTTTATCCAATCGGTGTCAAATGTGCTGGTCTCTCCCTGTTGCTCTACCAAGTATCTCACCGAGGTTTCATCTGAGCTCCCTCTCACGGGCTTCCCTCCTTTGCTGCCCTCTGAATCAGCTGATGCAGTTCTATGTGTTCTGTATTACTGTTCAGGTTTGAAGTGCAATCCAGGAAATCATGTACTCGTGGCTCCAGATGTGCTCATCGTCCAGCACTGCCCTGCTCAGGAGCTGGATTCTTCTGCAGTTGTTTTCTCTTTTGCTTTCACCCAGCTCAAAGGGGCAGGGAGCACTTCACTCACCTTCTCTCTACTGCCTGGGCTTTCCTTACCATGATAGCTACTGTCTGAAAGAGCAAGAGAAGAGCCAGTGTTCCAAAGTGCTGTTTACCTAGCTCACTGTGGCTTCCTAAAACATCTCGCTCCGGGTTTAGGCACAAGGTCTGTGTAAATAAACAGCTCACTGCATAGCTCCTGGTCCCTACACACCAACAAACCACAGCCTCCCTCAGCCTGGAGCTTGCTGCGTCCCTCCCATAGTAAGGAAAAGCTCAGCAAGAGCCATTGCCCAAACGAAGCCCTGGGTTTTTTCTCCCTACCAAGGAAGCGCTCACCTCTCCTGCAGAAACAAAACAGAAGGGAAATGCCTGCTCTTGGAGCATGATTCTTGTCTAAGCAATGTCATGACTCCTCAGTTGTTTAGGGGGATGCAGCTGACTGCAGATCTTGATATAAACTCAGTATTCCTATAGCAAGTTTGCATCCAAGGTGTCTTCTTGTGAGTTTGAGATGTGGGTCAGGATCCTTACACCTAATAGAAGCCCAGCGAGGTCTAACCAGCAGTCTGATGTGGTGAACACACTGTGAGATCAGCTACTATGATTCATAGGATCACAGAAGATTCAAAACAGAATCACAGATTCATTCAAGAACATAATGGAACTCTGTCTTCCTGCTTAGAAAGTGAATGTATCACATTCTCCCTACCTTATTTGCCAAAAGTCTTCTATTTACCCATTTTCCTTGAGTTTTTCCCTGATGAAAATGAACTCCATTGCCCATCACTTACATATTTCCAGTATTCACTTGGAAGTGCTAATAATGAGGAAAAAAACAACCCAGAATCAAATATTATTTCTCTAATCCCATATTAATGGCCCTGACCCTGATATTCTAATCAAGAAACTGTAATATTAGAACAAATCTACTTAACACCTTCAAACCAGAATTAAGTGCCTCCACCTAATGAGCTCAGGATCAGAGAGCACCCGTTGAGGCAAACCCAAGGGTTTGGCTCCACACAGCTATTCCCGAATTTCTGAATATAAATGTTTTCCCATCCGGAGCCCATGGAAATCAAAGCCATTGCGTTTCCTTTATATGAAAAGTGGTATCTGGCAATAATTACCTGATTAAAACTCTTGAAATTGAACTCTTTGTAGATGGCATCTCTTTCGCTCAACTCCACCCAGCCTGAAGCCTTGAGATCCAGTAAAACCTGGTTCCTCTCCTCCGTCGTCAACCAGTGGGCCTGTGAAGACTATTGAGGAGAAATGAACACAAACGTGACACGGGGGAGGCTGAGGCTCTCTTTTGTTCAACAATAAGAAAACCACACAATGAAATCATGGTTATGGATTGCAGAAAGGTGAGGAGTTGGGAAATTCACTCTGTCATTTCATAGAGCAGCTTAACTTAAAGCAGCCCAAAAGCACCACTGCAGCTTGGTCAGTTAAATGCTAAACGCTTTTGCACAGAACTAGGGAAAAGCAATAGAAAGCAACATGGACATCATGTACCTGTACCCATCTCCTGTTCATCTGAATTGGTACAGATGCTGTAACACTTGAAGCATTTTCCAATCTTCCATATAAATAAAGGATTATTTACATTATATTCTAAAGGTACAATGATAAGGCTAAAAGGGAGAAGCAAACCAGGAGATTACATTCTATCTGTCTTGTATTTTACTACTTCCAAGAAAATAGGAATATTACTCATACTATTTCTTTTACTATTGCTAAAAAAGCAGGAATGGATTTAAGGATAATTTAAGGCTAACATGCGCTATTATTCCTACTGGTGCTTGTTCTACAAGCAACAAAGAGCTCTCCTTAACAGTGAAAAGGAAGAAAACTGACAATACAGATGCAAACATGGGAAGTTACAAGTTACTGCTACGAGCACGCAATTCTGCAAAGCGTTTCTGTTTAAATCTGTCTGATTTGAAGCAAGAGCAGCCTGTTTGAAGCCACTGCAAGCACAGACAGCACAGATCAAACTACCTGCTTAAATACCTGAATCAGTGCTGGAGCTGTGTGTGACGCCAGAGCTTCCAGAAGGAAGTTCCATGGGGCATTTGCAAGAGGCTTGATATTTTCCCTCAAAGCAGAGACTAAAAGCAGTAACCTATATGATATATTGTGACCGATGGGTCTCAAATCCACGCTCCCAGCACAACGCTTGCATGGGAAGAACCTCTCTCCCCAGCGCAGCAACATTCCAATTGCTTTCGTGTGTGTACCAGCAGCCAGCACAGCTTTGTGAGAGTGTCTGCAAAAGGGATGAGCAATTTTGCCCCAAAGCTTCACAGAGACCTTGCAGGTTTGTGGGTATCAGCTCAGGTAATCTCTTCCCTCTGCCAGTTGGTGAGAGACCAGCAGCAGCCCCAGTGCCACCAGATGGGGCTGTGAGCCCGAGCAGAGCAGGAATTAATGCAATTAAGGCGTCCCGAGCGAGGCTTTAAGGGGCAGGCAGCCAAAGAGCAACATTTTCACCAATACTAAGGGACAAAACCAACCCCAAACAGCATAAAGCAATCGCATAGCATCGCTGCCACCACTTGTGTTCAGTTGGATACACCCAACCCAAGAGACAGGGTTTACAGGTCCCAAATGGAGCTAATTCAGGCTCTTTATGCTTCAAATGCAACTTTGGACTTGCAATAACACACCTATCAGATTTGTTGCTATAACAGCAGTTGCAGACATCAGTTTCTAATGTTCTTTTTCCAAGAAGATACAAGAATTGCCAAAGCTAACGGCTGGCTTGAAATACATTATCTAGCATTGGGATGAAGTTAGTTGATAATATACAGGAATAATGGGGGTGGAGGGTTTTATTTGCAATAGCAAAGTCCAGGACCGTGACCAGGAGGCAGCACAAAGTTCATTCCTCTGGCTGGCAGCAGAGATGTTCTCTGTTAGATTTAGGGATGTTGCAGTTACTTTCCTAAGGCCTCACCAGGACACACAGGTACTGATGAGAAAATGCTCATGTGACTTGGAATGAAATCATACAGATCTTAACAGAAATAGAGACTGAGCTTGATGCAAGCCCTGGAGCACAGCGATGGCAGAGTTTTGCTCAGGAACAGGTTGGGAAGGCAAGGTCCTGAATCAGCCCCTCCAACACATCACAACTATATGCAGAAACGCAGCAGAAAGCAGCAGGAACTTGCTTGTAAAGAGAAGAGAAGGTGGGAGATGTCACTTGCATCTTCACAGTTTTGCATACATAACACCACGCCACGGGCAGGGCACATGCAGTGAGACCAGCAAGGCATGGGCATCAGCACACAAATAGTACCTTAGCACACAGCATGACAGCACCCAACCTGCGACACACTATGATACGGTGAGTTTAGCCTGGCTGTTGGTGACATTCATTTTGAGGGGAAAAGAGCTGTTAGTTACATAAAACGTTAGTACAAGGTGGGGGTCTGAACCTGAGCTGCAATTACCCATTGGGTCCATGTAAAACACAAACACTCGCCCACAGCGTCGCGGCTCACGGCCATGGCAGGCAGGGAACGCGGACGGCTCAAACCCCAAGCACGTGCGGCCGTATCCCAGTTCCGGTCCCCCCTCCCCGGGCAGGGCCCAGCGCGGTCCCGCCGCCCTCCCTCCGCCGCGCCCCTCACCATGGCAGCGCGGCTCCCACCGGCAGCTCCCCGCGGCCTCGCCGCCCTCCGCGCTCCCAGCAGCGCCCTGCGCAGCGCTGCCCCTCCGCCTGCCATGGCCCCGGCCCCGGCTCCGCCTCCCGCTGCAGCGCCGGCCCGAGCCCCCGCCGCTGCCTTCCGGTGCACCGGGACGCGCGGCCCGGGGAGAACCGAGCAACAGCGGCCCCGGCCCGTGGGCGGCGGCCGCTGGGAGCGGAACGAGCGCGGTGCAAGGGGAGCTGCACCGAGCCCGGCCCTTCCGGCAGCGGAGGGGCGCTGCTCCCAAGACAGCGGTGTTTGGCCAGGTGACACCCGTTATCCAGGTATGGGTTAGGAATTACCGCCATTCCTGGGGAAGGTCCTGCCCTTACTCTCTAACTGACTGCCTGGCCGAGGCAAAACCGCTCCCATTCATTCAGATTCTTCATTCTTTATTAGTAAATTACAGCCTGGCTTTAGCTGCAGCAATACCAACGTTGTATTTGCACAGTTTCCTTCTCATACACAGAAATACAGAGCCTGGGGCTGCTAAAGGGGAAAGACACATCCACCAGAAAAATACCTGATAAATAACTGCTCTGCAAACAATGAATCTTACTGAGTTTGTGTGTCTTTGTTTCATTTCAGCTCAATTTACACTCTAAAGCTTCCTGTCAGGGTACTATGTCAAGCCTCCCCTGTGTATAAATGCCACGCAATCAGATAATCCAAGCCCCCACACAAAATACCAGTCCATACCTCATTCAAAGTCTTCCACACTATTTATAGCTAGAAACCATATCAGTTCTTTGCATAGCCTCAGCTGCAGCCTGTGCAACCAAATCTCTGGCTTTGCTAAGTGGGGCAGGTGACCAGTACTTCAGAAGTTCATGCTTTTAGTCCTGTGAGAAAGTGACTTAAAAGGTTACACTAAAAACCTGATTTATTAAAAAAAAAGAGTAAGGCCAAAACATCTTTTTTCTCATAGTTAATTTTCCTGACAGTCAATTAGCACCATGACCACTCACCCGTGGTTTCCTCTGAAACATTCCAGGAATACACAAGCCAAAACCCGAAAATGATTTGTGTGGTCAACACATCCTAATTCTATGTGTCTACCACACCGCACAACAGCTTTAGTTCCTATGTCTGTAGGATCTGAAAAAGATCCACAGGTTGTACCAGAGCAGAAGTGCCTCTGCTCCTGTGCCAGGCAGCGCCGCACAGCCAGGCCAGGGTGATGCTGTACACATCTTGATCGATGGAGCTTGAGGACCTCTTCAGGAGAGGAGAGGAGAACTGCACCACCTATTTGTTACAGTCCAGGAACAATAAGCTGATCATCTTAAGAAATACTTGTTTAGTTCATGGTTTTCATATTTGTTTACTTACCACAGTAATTGCCACATGTTCGCTTTTTACAGCTTGATGAATAAAGCAGACATTTAGTCAATGTTATAAATTACAACCACCAAATTCAACAGCTCGTCCTTCTGTGCTTGTAGTCCATACAAATTCCTGCATTACCAATAAGCAGGAAATTCTTTTCCTGTTTCAGGATCTCAGATTATTCCTGATGCTCATGCTCTTGTCCCGGGATCAGCCACCGAATACTCTCCGTGCGCACGGTGGCATAGAGGACAAAGCTGGCCAGGAAGAGCAGTGAGAACAGGAGCAACCAGTCTATGCCCTTTGTCAGAACGCTGGGCAGGGGCCCTTCCCAGTCCTCCTTGGTCACAACCACGTCACTTTTCGCTTCTATTCCTGAAAGAGAAAGCACTTGATCAACACCAGAAATAACCATTAAACACAGAGAAGCTGGTTCCATTTGGAGCTTTGTTCCTGATCCCAGACTACAGTATGTGTACAGCCCTCACAGCATCTCTGTGGACTCCTCTAGATTCGCTCCAACACATCCCTCTTGTGTTGTTGTCTGAGAGCTGGACACTGGACTGCAGGGGTGTCTCCCCAGAGATGAGCAGAGGGGAAGAATCCCTTCCCTCAACCTGCTGGGCAAGAGGATGTGCTCAAACCTTCTAGCACCCTCTCTAGTTAAACACCGCTGTTTCCCCCTGTTCTGTGACAGCAGCCCAGTGAGTTGAGTTCCTGCTTTCAGCACACTCTGAAGCCCAGCTGACTACAGCAATGGATTCTATAAACCTCTGCTGGGTCTTCATGAAATTAATTTCAAAGAACAAACAGCAGGGAGAGGAAAGCCCAGCTTGGAGCTACAACCAGCCTCTTCCTCCTAATGACACATCAGGGCTGATTCACTTACCTGTTTGATTAAAAATGAACTCTTTCAGTGTTTCCAGTGTCCTGTCTGTATGATTAAATCTAGCCATAGGCTTAGCACCTTGGAAAAGGAGGATATTGGGTACAGCCACAGTTCCAAATCTCGTTGATAAACTGGTGGACATAAAGCAAATACAATGCATGAAGGAGAAGGAATCCACTGGATGAAGAAACAAAGATACCAACAACACACAAAGTGGCAGTTTTACTAAATTAAACTGACACTTTATAAGAAAAAAAAAAAGCCACCCTGTTTTAAAAGACAGATTGCTAAAGGAAATAAACTGATGCTAGAGACAGGGAGTACAAGTTACCTGCTGTGCTGAGATGCATCCAGCGCCAGGAAGCGAAGAGTTGGAAACGCTCGAGGTAAGGAATTAAAATGAGGTGCCAGGCTGGCAGAAAAGCGGCACCACGGTGTGTAGAACAAGACCAACGTGCAGTCACTGCTGTTTGGGTTTAGGAACTCCATCAGGTCCTTAGAAAATGAAGGAGAAAACCAAATATGGATGATTATGTATTTGATAGAGTTGAATTCTATGCAGGAACACATCAGTCAGCAATCGATTAGACTCTCGGCAATACTTATCAAGTAGCTGCACCTTTGTTTAACCTTTTTAATAGATGAAGAATTACATTTAAACTTTTAAAAAGGTTGTTTTAAAAGCTTATTACTTAACAGTATATATACACACAGCCACTACAAGAAACAAACTAGAAATAGGTGCTGGCAATAAGCACCACTAACAGTTTCAGAGAGACACACTAATCCATGCAGCACAAAGATTGATGGTTCACTGCATACAGATGAGACACAGGCATGTGGACTGAGATGTTATCTTCATTTTTTTGTGCTCAGAATGACACAAAAGGCCTCTTTGGCCAGACACTTCCTCCTGTTGATAGCACAGAGGACGTTACACAAGGACATTCACACAGCCAGACACTGAAAGCAACACACACATGGTGCTGAAAGGTAACCCACCTGCGACACGTTCAGGATCTGCAGCATTAGGCGCTCCATACCAGTCGTGTTCCTCTCTTCGCAATTCACTTTGGGAGCCTTGGCGCTGTCGGTGCTGTTGGTCTCCTCGGCGGGCGCAGGCGACACCGTCTCCAGCCCGGCTTGCTCCCGGGACTGGCTGCCCGTCGCGCCGCTCCCCGCGCCGCATGCATCACCTCCGGCCAACGCATCGCAAACCCCGGTAGCCCCGGCGGCCTCCGGGCCGTCCTTCGCCTCCCCGGGCACCACCGAGAGCACCACGGCCTGCTGCGGCGTGGGGACCCCGCAGCCCTGCATCGCGTCCGCCATCTCCGCAGTCCGGTACCGCACCGGCTCGCCGCCGTCCTGCGCGGGGCCGCCCCCTTGGCAGCGGGGCTGCCCTCCCGCGCTCTGCTCCGCCGCCCCTGCGCCGGGAGGGAGATGTCAGCTCCGCGCATCGACCGGGCCCTAGAGCCCACCGCGGCTCCAGCGCCGGCACCCCCCGCCCTCACCTGCAGGCAGGGCCCTGCCGAGCCAGGCCAGCGCCAGCAGCAGCCGCCACATCCCGGTGCCGGTCCCGCCGCCTCAGCACCACGGCGTCTCCCCGGACAACGGCCACTTCCGCCGGGGCCCTGCTCCACTTCCGCTTCCGGCGTGACACCGCCGTGCGTGTGCGTGCCTAGCGCAGTGAGGGGGGAGAGCCGCCATCTTGTCTTGGCCCCGGGGCAGTGGCTGGGGTCGGGAGCAGCTCCGTGAACGCCGGTGCTCAGCGCGGGCCCGGCCTCTTCCAGCACCACACACACCGGGCTGGGTTTGTCTCCCGCGGGGACCTGCAACCCAAGGGCCTGCTGCAGCCAGGGCGTCCCGGCAGCCACATCTGCCTGCCCGCCCACCCACCGCAGTGAAGCAGATCAGAGACTGGGAAGAAGCTCTTCGCTGTGAGGGTGCTGAGGCGTTACCCCATCCCTGGCAGTGTTCAAGGCCAGGTTGGACACAGGGGCTTGGAGCATCCGTGATTCTATGAAAAATAATGTATTTTGACATAAGTAACCCGTATACTGAATATATGTAATGTGTATGTTTTAACTGTACATGCGCCTTAGTGTGAGAAGAGGAACAAAGCTCCAAATAGAACCTAAACCTTGCTACAAAGCGAGTAAGCCTTGGTGTCTGATCATATATTAAAGGATGTAAAATCTTCATTTCATTACATGGCAGAGAACACAGTGGCCATGGGAGCAGCCAGGCAACTTCCAACACAGCCAAAAAACCTGGATTCTTGTACAATATAATCAATGACTGACAATACCCCAATACTGACAGTTTCTTCACAATCAATAAACTGATCTCTTTTGCTCAGGGTATTGCATTCAGGAACTGATTTTTAGGCTAGGAGGGAGCAAGCTGTGCTGTGGAACTCTGTGCTGGACATACCCAGTCATCTTGAAAGCCACGTATATAGAATCACCACAATGGCCAGAAACAAACTAAACTGGCATCAGATGTCTTTTTCAGTTAAAAGCAACCTAAATGTCTGCAACTGACATTTAAATGTTTCAACCCTGTATTGAAACGTTTGGAAGTACATGGAGAAGAAAACAGAGGGTGCTGGAGAGCAAGGGAGGACAGGGACCTTGGTCTGGCTGCTAGGTAGCACTGGCTGGCTTCCCCACCATCACTGAAAAACATCAGTAGAGGGGAAAACTAAACTACACTAAACTAAAAAAGGGAGTTGGGGGGTATGCAAAGCACATCTTACCAACAAAGAGAAACTGGAATATTGCTGGAATACAGGGATAAACAGATCTCATTCATCACAGAATAATGAACAAGGAGCACCATTCTGTGAAAGTGTACTTTATGAGCATTA